GCAATTAAACAAATAGACACGATTCTCAAATACACCCCCCACTCAATTGTTATAAATAATAATAATAAATATTCTATTATTTTAAAAATTAGGACCTCGCAATAAGAAAAGCAATGATGGCAATTAATATAACCAATAAATGAATAACATTTGTGATTATCATAATTTTTTATAACCTAAAGTCTTAATGTTTCCTCGATGATATTTACTATATTTTAATAAATAAGATGATTTTATTTTAAAATTTGAATTATTACCGGTGCTCATATACCAATACACCGAGCTTTGATTTTATCATTTGGTAACGGGGGAGTATTTGAGAATCATGGTCATTTGTTTAATTGCTTTGTTTTAGTATACCTTTTATATTTGTATTCTAACCCATTGTTGCGGTATTTATTTTAAACTTTAAATATTACTAAAGACTAATTTGTAAGAAAATATAAAATACTATTTTTATAAATAATATATTAATTTACACTTTCTTTGACAAATCACTTTAAATTTGACAATTCCTGTTTCTATGCCACGATACAAATGCGAAATCTTTTAGTATGAATTATTCAATTTGGTTACAGAAACAATTGTATGTAATTATCAATTAAGAACTCTATTATAAATATAGATAAAATCACTTTTGAAAACATAGCATAAAATAAAATATTGCAAAGTAATAAGTTTACAAAATTATTTAACAAATACGACTGCACTTAATTTATCAATATAATGTGCTTAAACTCTATGCCAATGTCAATAATCTTTATGTTTTAATTCCCAACTTCCTCTTCGGTTTCCAATACTTTTTCATAACATTTTTCGTCGATATTTATATTTTTAAGCCATTGTTTACGGTATTCCTCCACTAAATATGATTATATATTAATATATTTAGTTCAAAGTTAAAACCAATATCTGTATAATAAGTTACTAGTAATATAAATATGATTATGATTGGCATACGTTTATTATGATCGGTGCCCTGTTTGGCAGTACAGAGTCCCAGCTCTCTAAGCGCCGCATAAGCCTTAAAATGTATATAATTTTCGTTGAGATATCCCGTGTAGTCGTCAATACATTTGTTCAATAACTCAATCGCTTTGTCATTATTTTTCATCTCAAACTCAATTAAACCCAATTCACAGTAGGCTTGCGCTGGAAGTGAAAACTGACTCCCAATACGAGATTCACTTTATATTAATCAAAATTATGTTCATATTAAATACAATTATTTTAATTTTTCATCTCAAACTCAATTAAACCCAATTCACAGTAGGCTTGCGCTGGAAGTGAAAACTGACTCCCAATACGAGATTCACTTTATATTAATCAAAATTATGTTCATATTAAATACAATTATTTTAATAATTAATGATTATTAAATACAAAATTACTAAATAACATACTTGTCGATAATAATTTGCTGACATTCTCGCGATTTGTGATAATCGGATAAAAATCTCAAAATAAGACCTTTATAGAAAATTGCAGTCAAATAGTTATCCAAGTAATCCGATGTGTCTATTAATGTGTATTTTTTATTATTTGAGTATTTTATTACTAAAAATTTGCTTATTTTTAAATAATTTACCTAGATCACATTGATATCGATTGACATATTTGTTAATCCTTTCTAAAATCCTATTCAACAGCACTGTATCGCTTCGGATAAACGACAGACAATTGAGTTCATACAACATTCCCTATTAATACCAAATATTTACTTTCTCTGAACAATAGTCTAATAAATATTTAGTACACAATATAATGAAAATAATTGATAAAACAAACCAAATCCGGAAGAATTAACAGCTCGTCGTTTTTCACGTACTCCTGAGCCCTGACAACCGCCACCTTTTCCGGTGTTATAGTTTTGCCCAAATGTCTGATCCGAAGGGTTGGCACAAGACTTACATAATTATAATAAATTATTTTAAATATTTTTCATACGATTTAGTAACTATTTGACTATTTGTTAACTCTTACTGGAATAGTTCAGTAGCCTTTTGTTTTTCATCCTGGTCATCATTTTCGGTGCTTTTTGCATATCTGAATATTGCTTCCATGTATGTAGCGATGGCCGGTGTATATAAGCTACCGGTGCGAAACTTTTCCGCGTATTCAATGCATGAATCCCAGTTAGATTGCAGTGCATATGACCAGGTCAGTTCCATGTATATAAATCGCTTTGGTGTCACGTGTGGGTCATTAAGTAATCTAAGATACAATTCAATGCCTCCATCTATTTTGCCATTTAATTGAAATACTTTTGCCCGGAATATATTCAGAATTAGGTTCTGGCAAAATTAAACAAATTATGTTTTACACAAATATCTTTTAATTTAATTATATTGGTGTAATTTTAGTTCATTAATAAATTGATATACTAACATTTGGATATCTATTGAGTTCCTTAGTTAGCACTTCATTGCAAATGTCAATATGTATGGGCCCGATACCAAAGTGTGAGTCAAAATAGGTCCAGTATATAAACCTAAACACTCTGGCCAACTGACTGGCTATACCGGGCAATTCAAAAGCGGTTTTATTGATGTTGTTCCACCCGGTGCTCTCAACCCCTCTGATGCCCAAAAAGTTAATTACGCGCAAAATTTTAGGCGGCGCATTACTGATCACCAAATGTGATACACCATTAGCCAGGCGTACACTCGACTCAAAATTAAGTCTCGACGCTTCACTTTCCCATTGGGAACGGGATCTCATTATTATCTTACTACAGCTAGATTTTAATGGTTAGTTTAATTTTAGTTTTTAGAAATATGATTTTAAGTTAAATGTTGTCTTACTTTAATTTCTTGACAAACCGTTGCAAACGATAGGCTAACTTAATGAGTGCATAGATATTATGCGTTTCGATGGCTAGTATTACGCAATCCAATATGAGACTGTATGAGTGAATGAGTTCAGCATGCACCTCCACTAGATATGTGTAATTTAATAATGAAATAATGGTTAACTTATATAGTAAAAATAGCTATTCACTCACAATCAGTGTATTTCTCATAATTAGGTGTTTTAATCATTTTCATAACACTGATTACGAAACCAGTCTTCCGGTATTTATTACAAACTTCTCGCAATTCATTGACTGATTTTTGTGCCGCATCTATGTCTGCCTTTAATTTTTAATATTTTAAAATTCAATCAACTCCATTTTGTGTGGTTTTATTAATAGTTAAATAAATATTACAAACCTTTTCAATGGATACCATTGCAGTCATAACGAAATACAAGGACTGAATAAACCTGTGATAAATACTTCGGTCACAATATGGCTCAATAGTGGCCAACCCTTTGACCACATCATTGCTTTTCATCACGTCTTCAAACACTTCATTCGCCAAACTTATGGACTCATCGATAGGCAAGTGATCGCTAAATACAGTATAAAATTAAACAAACATTTTATCAATTAATAAAATTTAATGCAAAAATCTATTAGCATACCTTTTCATTATTTATTGTACACTTAAATTTTAAGTTATATTTTCTATTTGATACTAAATGAATTTTTGTATATGTTTAGTATTGGTATAATTGATTTACTATCAAAATAAATAATTTAGTATTTAATTATTAAATTAATCTGCAAAAGCATAAATTTTTAGATATATAAACAAAATAATAATTTTTAATTATACACTAGCTCTGATTTTTAATACAGCATTTTAAATTGTGTTCAGGTTTAACACCTACAAAATATATTTTATATTTATTTGTTGATTAAAAAAATTCTGTGTAATTATACAAATATTAATTGTTACTTAATTGTTTAAATTTTCCTTTATAATTTTGCCATAATTTTTATTTATTTTTAATACACTTCTCACACCTTTAAGGTTGAATGACGATAAATTATCTTGGCTATTTAATTATTTTCTGACTATTTCCTAATACAGTGATGATTAATTTAAAATTGTGTTTAATAGCCATAATTAATTATAAGTTATTAAAAATTTCCAATGTGTACGGCTCATTAATACTTAAAATTATCTAAATTATGTAAATATGCATACAAAGTATCTAAAATTAATTTAAACAAGCTCTATTCTGGTTTTAATTATAACCGTAATAATTATACAAATACTTTTTATTACTTTCATTATCTTATAATCTGTTAAAAATTATATATTTAATAAATAGCATAAATTATTACTATAATTTTTTATAAGTACATCTTATGTACAAATAAATTATAAGTGACTAATTAGTCAGGGCATATTTACAGGATCAAGGAAATGTCCATTTCAAGGTTTATTTGGAGAAATATAATTTAGATTGAGTCGTTTAAGATAATTGTCATTCAATATATTTGAGTAACAATTTAGTTGCGTAAGTGTAAGTTGACAGTTAGCTTGTTTAAAGGTTTTTTGTTTTTATTAACCCAAGTGTTAACAGCAATTGACGTACAAACTCTATTAATTTAGATTAAGTTTATGTAAACTTATCATGCTAATTTTGTTTAGTAGTCGAAAGTTTCACCTTTCATTAGGTGACGTCAGGGCTCCTTAAAAATAACCAGGGAAACCTGGCGGTTATTATTATAAAAAAAAAGTTTGTTTCATTTAAGTTTATTTGAGCATTATTCAAATTCAATATTCAAATATAGATAACTATATAATTATTTAACGAAATAATTCTATTTAAATTACTTTGACGAATATATTTAAAAAATCACTGTATATGAAGTATAATTATTTTATAAATAAAAGTATTATTAATAAAATATTATTTCACATACCAATTTTCTTAATTTATATTTATTTACTATTTGGTAGTTTTGTTGTACACATATAACCAGTAAATTATTTGTAACTCACATTACAGTAATACAGTACAAGTACAGTATTTATAATCAAATCAAATTATGAATAAAAATATAAAATATGAATAAATTAAGTGATTATAATGTTTGCTTTCTCTTCACTTTCGACTACTTTTTCGTAATTTTTCTTTTTTATGTTAATCTCTTTGAGCCATTGTTTCTTGTATTCCTCCACTGGGGTTACCAATCAAAAGGATAACAGATAATGAGATATAGATATAACAATTTACATACAAATAGACATACATTTCCCCTCATCTTCGTCCTCGTGCTCTTTGATGGCTCCCAACCCCCTGAGGGCGGCGTAGGCCCTAATCTGGACATAGTTTTCGTTGGCATAACCCGTGTATTCATAGAGACATTGGTTGAGTAGTTTAGTCGCCGTTTGCCTGTTGTTGAGCTCGCATTCAATTAATCCCAACTCCAGTA